TTTTCCATTTGTATTCTTCCCCTTCATTCAAAATAGTGAATTCTGAAGGGTATTTATGGTGATTCCCTCGTCCCATCGCACGCGAGTGCCACGTGTCTATCCGCTACTGCGCATGCGTTTCGGAAGGAGCATCTTATCAGCAGCTTGCGCCACCTGCTCGAGGGGGGGAAGAGAGGAGCAGCTGGTCCTACACTGAATGGTTTGATTCTGAAGTGGGATGTAACTTAATCATTGTATACTTCCTTTTTAGTGTTGTAGTCCTTCATGGTTTGCCGTAAATCTGTTCGACTGTTTTGATGTAAACACTCCACGAGAGTCATTACGCTGAGAACCCCCCATTTAAAGTTTAACCTTTAAATTTCGCGGGTTGTTTTCTTTTTTTTCCTCTCGTTTCTTGCTTCCAAATCTGCATAACGTGTGTCCTGCTAAGAGGTGAAACGTATTAAACGTTTCTATCGATTGACGTTCGTGTGTCTGTCCGTTGCAATCTAATTGTGGCTATTATGTTAATATATCGATGCTAATAATGTGTGTAGGTAAATAGTAAAAATGTAGTGTTTTTTTTCTTTCTTTTTATGGTTATGCCCCTATTGGAAATCGTGCTTTTGTTATTATAAATGTCAAGCTATGGCATGGGGATGCCGTTATCGGAAATCAAGTGACATACAGATGTTGCTATTGGAAATCAAAGTATGCCACGGGGATGTAGCTATTATTAGATCAAACTGTAACATAAATATGCTGTCGTTACATGCGTAACTATGGCATGCAGACAATATTAAATTATGGTACTTTATATGAATATTATTATTACAATTTAATTTATGGTGTACGATGATGTTGTTAGAATCAAAATGTGTGTTAGGACCCAGTGTAAATGCTATTTTAGTATCAGACTATGTGTAGGACTCGGTGTAAATGCTATTTTAGTATCAGACTATGTGTAGGACTCGGTGTAAATGCTGTTGTTAGTATCAAACTGTAAGTTAGAACTCAGTTTTGATGTATAAATTCTACTATTAGAATGACACTATACTGTACCTGTACAGTACAGGTACAGTATATTTACACATTAATACAATGAAAATATAATAAATTTCACAGTAAGAAAAGGAGATTTTTTAGCACGAAAAGGGACTTGTGTTTGAATTCTAAACATTTGTTATCTGATGCCAAAAGGTGCGGGAAGGCATAGAAGTGACCCACATCCGTTTCTTCTCCATTGTCTGACGTCAGCCATCCTATCCATAGTCGGCATTATATTCAACATATATCGTGTAAGCATCGATAGTTTTACACACGTTTCTCTACTCACACGAGTATTTCCTTTGACCCATCAATCGAATATTCTTATATCCCTTAGCCTTTTCTTCCCTACAGGCGCGCACACAATATAGGAACATACATACGAGCCTATATATCAATACACGTGATTTTTCTTAATTGTCTGCGAATAATCGATTCTAGTCCAGGAATTCATCTTCATTTTTTGACTGATGTGTCAGGGAATGAACAGATGGTGTCTTGAAACTCGGAAACAGCCAATAGAATCGCCTTTTGTCGGCCGGTCACGTGACCCGCCGGGGAGGGTGGATTATGACAAATGTTTACAGATCACTGTCAGGAAAGAGTGACCTGACGGATAAATAAAATTTATGATTGTAGCAAACTTAATTTTAACAGCTTCCCAGAGACGAATTTAAATAACTCTTACTTCATCCCACATATATACATATACATATATAGGCTATATACGTAAGGGTGAGGCCATAAATGATCACTCTGCTACACGTGTCTAGGGGTAAGGGCCCTGTTGACAATAGGGAATATGCCTTTTTATGTCTGTAATTGGAAATGGGAAACCGGTTCGATTATATTAACCGAATTTATAATGTTTTTTAGTCGGGTTTAGGAAAGTTGTAAAGCGAATTTCGTTTCTACAATCGATAACCTGTAAAAAAAGGGGGGAAGCCTTAAACGTTTATCATTTCAAGACTTTTTAGGTAAATACATGTTTATAAAACCTTATATTCTTTAAAAATACTTGAAATTGTATACTTTTAATGTCTTTTTTTAACAGGTTATTTGTAAATTATAAGCTAAAAGTCTTCCTTTACAATTTTTTTTTTCTTTTTAACCTGTAAAGGAAGACAAATTTCTACAAAAATTTGCTCCATTTTTACAGATTTTTATATTAAAAAAATTGTATAATTATTTGGATTATATTAATTAATATTTCATATCATATACTTAACTCTATTTCGAAAGTTGATTCCATTCAAGCTTACTTCCTTACAGTTCTTTCCTTCTTAAATTTCTTTTCTTGCCTCGTCAGTCTCCTATTTTTTTTTAATTAAATTTTATTTTATTTTTACGCACAGACATACGAACTTATCACGAGATTCATACGATTAATATAAAAAAAAGGTGGCTTCCCCTCACGACTAATCTTAGAAGATCGAGTAAAACGAGCAGCAAATTAAACGAATTTCACGAAAAACTAAGAAATTTTAGGGAAAAAAATATATTAATTTATAAATTTCACAGATTTAAGGGGGATTTATGTATCTTTTTTTTATTTTTCCCCCTTTTTTAAGGGAAGAAACAGATTTGAAAGCCTAAGCGGGCTGAGCAGACTTCACGCCATTAACGGGAAGTGACCTTTCACCTCACATCCTGTCTCCCTGGCCATACTATTCCAACTTCCGATTGTAGCTGAGCGTTGAACAGTAATCCTTCTCGCCGTCCCCCCCCCAGTTTTCTGCCCTCTTTTCGTTAACAATGCATCATATGTGCTCCGGTCGTTGTTGTTGTACAGTACTTTCACTACTACATCTGTTAAACACACTTTCACTGGGAAATTTCCCTAAAATTTAAAGTGTAAAAAATTCCCTAAAAATCTATATATTTATTTATTTATTATCTAATTTCTATTTTGTTTCCTAGAATTTTGTTGTGTGTTTCCGTCAGCATCATTTGCTTATGTGAAATATGGCTATTCAATTCGCTTCCAGCTGCATGCTAATCAGGCAAACAGAAACTGTTTCGTCATAACAACTCGAATGCACGCGCTACTATCCGCTGACGTCACAATGGCGCGTGGCATTGTCTATTGTTAAACTGCGCTTGCGTCTAACTGGCAGATGTCCCCCTTGTTAGTTGATTTCTAATAATTAGCTTCGTGTATAAATCTACTTTCCTTCTTCGCTTTCTCCTTTCTCCATGTTTTTTTTTTTTTCTATTCTCTTCGTTAGAAATTAATAAACGTTTCACTCTATTTAAATTAAAGTTTATAATGTGTTTTTGCGTTTATTTTTAATTATAAGCTTATGAATATTTACAAATTTAATAAATTTTAATGTATTATCAACCGAGCGACATACAGAACGTACTTCAAAACACGAAACTCGTAGAGTTTGGCGATTAACAAAAACCTTCCTTGATTTTTTTTAATGTAAAAATATTCGAATTTTGTATGCAATAAAACCTGTGTAAGCTGGACTTTTCCGGCTTGGCAGGTTTCCGTTCTCAACAGGTTTTTTTTTGTTGTTGTTGTTTTTATTAACGATTTTTCGCTCCGTTTTGAAGATTTTTTTTTTCTCTCCGTTTAGGAAGAGGTTCCGTTTTAAGCAGGTTTTATAAAGAAATTTCGAATTAAATCTATATTAATTGGATTAATTGAATAGAAACGGTGTAGTGCGGTTAATGGAGCGCGTTCGGATTAAGAAAATCCATTAAAGTATTAGAGATTTTGAATTTTGTGTGTATGAAAATGAAAATTTCCGGGATTAAAATACTTTCCACTTAAAATTAATATCCCGCTTTGTACGTATGCGGGTTGTCTGGCTCGATAAAAGGTCGTAACCGAGTAATTGTTTTTCGGTCGACGTCATAATTACTTGTGTGTGTGTACGTATTGTGATTCTTGTGTTTCGTGGATTATTTTTTCGGATCTTCGTTCGAATTTAAATTTTTCTAATCTTCAATCTAGAAATTTATTTTTAGTTTGAGATTAAAATCGTGGTTTTGTTACGCTTTTATTTTATTTGTCGTATTCTATCTACTTTCTGTATTTTCTGTACCCCTGTTTTCTATGTTAAGCTTTTCTGCTTTGTAATTATTATTTTTTTTTCGTTACGTCCTCTGCTTTGTTGTGAGTTTAGCTTGCTGTATTTTGTTAAATCTTTCGCTTTCTATGCTTCGTTACACGTCTTTCTCTGTTCTGTTATGTACGTTTCTTTCTATGTTACGCTTTTCTCTGCTCTGTTACGTACTTTGCTTACTATGTTACGTTTTTCTGCTTTGTACAGTACCTTTCGTTACGTTCAACTTTCTATATTTTCTACGCTTCTCTACACCCTACATTTCATTATTATTTTTATTTTATATACATTATTATGTCTTTTACTGTCACTTCCCATATTTTCCTACATTTCCTACGTAAACGTATCCGAGTTTTAGTCATATATTTATAGATATTTTATCTTTTTATACAATAATTATGACTCGAAAACGGCCGATCTATTTATAAACACACTCATAAACTGAATTCCAATATGCCTATCGAACAACGAACAAACCTTATTAACTCGAGTATATACGTGAAAAAAGCATTAAATGCAAAAAAATATCCATATACTTATAGGAAATCTTTATGTAAGCGAATTCCAAAGATTCTAGGACACGAAATCTGCAATTCAAAATAGGAAATCATAAAGAAGAGTCAACACAAGAGAATTATTTAATGAATAAGAATAATAATTAAAAAAATTCTCACACGCGCACTCGACATATTAAAGTATATTTTAAATAAATATTAATTTCTTTAATTAATCCGTAAACGTCTGGAAGGAAATGGAGACGAAAGTCTCGCCAGGTAGACAGACAAATGATTGTGGAAAATATATATACATACAGCGAAGTGCCGCCAGGGTGTTCACGTGATCATCAGGGTGGAGCTAGAGTGACCACGTGACTAAGGGCGGGTTAGATAAAGGCCGAGTAGAGGCGTCAGTCCGTTTCCTTTCCGATGAGTGCCATGGTGACTTGAACGCCATGCCCCGAGGGTTCCTAGTGAAGAGGTATGGAAAGCCCGTTGCAGTCCGAAGATATTCGGACGAAGATCGAAGCGACACCAGTTCGGACCACGAAACGGGCGATGTTCTCTCTCCTTTGTCACAAAGTGAACCCCTGGCTCTCTACATCTCCGAATCTGTCAGCACCACACCACCTCGCCTATCGTCACCACCCAGCACTCCTCAATGCCCATCGAAAAAGAGATCGACGACGCAGGATAACGAAAGGAAGGTCAAGGCCACCAAGAAGCACAAAGTCACCAAGAGGTTAAATTTCGACGAAGACAAAACGTCACCGGTCTCGGGAACGTTCATACGAGATCCCGACAGCGACGACGATTTACCAGCAGCCGTCAGAAGGGGTGACATCGACCCCAGCCTCAACGTTGTGGTGGTGACGGAAGAGGCTCGAGCCGAGTTGGCCAAGATCGAGAATAAAATCGGTGATTACGTCTGCCAACTCTGCAAGGACCACTTTCAGGATGCCTTCGGTTTGGCCCAGCATCGTTGTTCGCGTATAGTGCACGTGGAATACAGATGCCCCGAATGCGACAAAGTATTCAACTGCCCTGCCAACTTGGCTTCACATCGCCGATGGCACAAACCCCGTCCTCTAAGCTCCAACGCTGGAAAAGTGCCTCAACCCAGCAGACTCTTGCCATCCAACCTCAGTGAATCTTTCAAACCGCCTCCCGGTGACCTCAGTGACTCCGACAGCATACGAGATTCTCCATCTCCTAACGAAGACACCAATCTGCCCTGTGACGTCTGTGGTAAGAAATTTCGCCGCTTGTCATACCTTAAGAAACACCTAGTGAGTCACAGCGATCTAAAAGAGGGTACGTACGTGTGCCACTGCGGACAAACATTCAATAATCTTGCTGATAGAACAAACCACGCTCTCCTCCATTCGGGGGTGCTCCAGAATTCGGACCAACCCAACAGTACAGATAACTGCGATCTCTACCAGTGTAAGTACTGCACCAGCACTTTCTACAGTTCACCCGGTCTCACTCGACACATCAACAAGTATCACCCCAGTGAAAATCGCCAAGTGATACTCCTACAAGTTCCGTCTGTCAGAACGGCATCAAGTTAAGTCGGGGGGTGACCAATTTTTCTGTATAATTTATCATTTATTTATTAACCGTATTCCTATTTACACGCGCAAATTAGCACCCGTAATCGTTTTTTGTCCATAGTGTTCGAAGAGCACTCTTGAATTCGTTGTGCCAATTCTAGAATTTGTACATAGGAGTGCACACTTTTTACCTCCTCTCATTTTTACAGTATTAATCTTAAATTACATTTAGATACTTCTAGAATTGTTTAGATTTCTAGTAAATCCGCACCGTTTTCGTCGTACAGTTTACTTGTTTTTTTTTCTTTTTTTAAATGGCTCAAATCTCCGAAATTTTATGGTCTTTTTGTGGCGTAAATTATCTTTTATCCTCTTAAATTATAGAATTTTTCTAGAATAAACATATTTTTCGGCTTACTTAAATGACTTTCTGACTAGTTTATATAGAAATTTTAATATTTTCTTGATCAGGAAACCTTATAAAATTGCTTAATTAATTAAAAATAATTTTATTTTGTTAAGAAAATCGTTGGAGAATTTAGAAATGAAAGGGTCTATCACGTGCTTTAAATCAAATTTGAACCACGTGATATTTCTAGAGCCATTGTTCATTCTAGTCACGAAATTTTCGATAATTCTAGTCATATAAAAAATGAGCGAACAAAGAAAAAAAATAATAGAAAAATAAATATTATTTTTGTCCCACCCCTTTTTTTTAAGGGATTAAATGCAACATATCGTCATTCCTCATTATACACGAATAATAATATTATTTATATATAGCCTATATATATATATTTATATACAAATAAATTATAAAATTACGTGAATAATCTAGTCAAAAAAGCGTATAAAAATATTTACTAATTTATTTATTTATTTATATTATTATTATTATTATTTATCCTTTTTTTCCTTATTATTAAACAGAGATTATTGTTGATTTTATGTGTTAGAAGAAGCATGATTTTTTTCAGATTTTTTGGTGTAGTTTGGCCGAAATTAATTAGTTTTAATCCGAAAAAATTAGATTTTATTCGATTTTTATGTAATAAAATCCCATTTTATCGAATTTTTTTTTTTGTTTTCTTTTTTTTTTCCTGGATGATCTTGAAGCGTTTAAAGTCTTCCTGGAATCTAAGTAACACGAATTATTGATTTTTATTTATTTTTCAATATTTATTTTGAATAATATGTTTGCAGAATTCTGTAATAAAATTAACTTTAATATTTTGCAATGGTTTCGTTTTAAATAAGCAAACAGAAAAGGAAAATTACCTCATAACGTTTAAGATATTGGATCGTAAATTCTTCTCTAGAATCAAATTTGATTTCTCTAGTTTTGTATTAGAATATTTAATGTAAACACGTTCGAAGTAGATTGATATTTTAATCAATTTTTGGGCGGAGGCCCCTCAAAAATCCGTGAAGCAGTGCCATAAGCATTACATGATCCCCTGTAGAAGGTGATTTGTTTCCTTTTTTTTTTCCTTCTTGTATATTTTTTAATTTAGATGTCGATCTGTTTGTATTGTAGTAGTGATTACGTCGTGCGAACTTTTTATAACTATGTAGGAGTGTGAACACATATATATATATATATATATAAACTTTCTTCGCTGAAGTTCTTGCTTTATAGTTCTAGATCCTCTTCGAGATTGAGGAATTTCTAGATTACCTACGTCAGTTTTATTCTAGGTTGAGGAAGTTCTAGAATACCTGTATAAGTTTATTCGAGGTTGATGGTAGGTTTACTCGAGATTGGGAACGTTCTAGGCTCTCTTTGTAAGTTTATTCGAAGTTGAAGGAGGCTCTAGAATTCCCTATATAAGTTTACTCGAGTTTGAGGAAGTTTTAAGGCTCTCTATAATAAAGTTTCCTCGAGTTTGAAGGAGTTTTAAGCATTTTATAAAAGTTCTATCGAGGATGGGGAGCTCTAGATCTTCTGGGTTTAAGTGCTCTTGAGGTTTTCAGATAAGTTCTAGATCTGTACGTAGGTGCTATAGTGAGATCTAATCTAGGATATTACGATTACACGTTAGGATTTGATGGGCCATTATTCGATTGAATCTGATATAAGTACTTTCGGCGCAGGTTCCTATATATTCTAAGTGCTTTATCGGATCGGACAGCAATTGTATTTACTAAATACACACTCTGCTATTGTAGAAAGTAACTTCTCATTAAACCAAACTCTCATACTTTCCTTCCTTTTCATCTAGATACTACTTCCTCATCCATTTATCTGTATACAGAGCCTAGTTCAAGACCCGTTCGTAAATTAATCGATCAGAACTTGCAAGGGGGTGAACTATGAATTGTTAAACCTCAGAAACGGATCAAAGATACAAAAAAAGAATATATATATACGCTTTATACGTCAGCTGATGTTATGTTTGTAGTGTATAGGAACTCGAGTTGTGGTGAAATATTGTTATCGATTCCCTGTGTGCTAATTATCTGGATAATGTTTGACTTCCCGATCAATATCTAGTTGTCCGTAGCATTATGTTCATCGCCTGTTGGCTATATTCCTTCGTCATTCCTTAATGTTGACCTGTTTTTTCTTACCTGCACAATTGCACTGTTTACATGTTAATACTATAGAAAAAAAAAACCTATATATATATATTTATACTTAAAAATAAAAAAACCTTTGATATAATAAAAATTACAACGTAAAACCCGTTATAACCGAAAATGTTTAATGTTTACAAGGGTTTAAAAAGTATTTTTTTGAGGAAATATAAGTAAAAAACATATCCCAAAAAAGACGTCCATAATACAAAGACAAATATATATATATATATATATATATANAATGAAACTATTCATAACTCATGAAATTCAATATAAAAAAAAGCACAGTAGCGGGGAGCCATGATTCAGAAGGGAATATTAGCAAGAGCGGTTATTAGACAAACATGCAACCGGTAACAAATAATCTATGTACAGGTAAACCAGGTGGTTTCCGTGTCAAATGACTCAGGTGAGCATTATGACGTCAGCTATACATCTCTGGACATTCCAGTATATTCACCAATGACTCATTTTCTATATAAATTAGACAGGTAGCAGCTTTATCTTTGATTATAGTCCATCTAATAATAACTTTATTATTATTATTTTTTTTAATAGTAATTTTAAACTTTAGTTCGTTAGGAAGAAAATTAATTAATTTTTGTCATCACGCTTTATTTTTTAATATACAAAAACATTTTAAATTTAAATATTATAGAGAGAGAGAGGGGGAAAAAATCAATTTTTCGAATACACGTGAAAGAGATCGACTTACAAATTCTATTTATGGATGAAAAAAAAGAAGATTTCAAGTAATAGACGAGGGAAAATATTGATAAAATATAAAAAAATTACATTTAAAATGAATTGTTTTTAAATATATGTAATGATTTTTGCATATTTATTAGGCATTAAAACATTTAGGATTGGATAATTTGCTCTAATTAGGCGTTACAAATATATATATATATATATATGTTGTGTAAACAATTATTTAATGTATCTTTATTATCATTTTAAGTTTAGATAAATAAAGCTTTGATATTTGCAAAAATTCTGATTGAAATTCTTGACTCTTGAAAGCGTAGGGTGCATTGGTACACGAGATTCTCCGAAAAAAAAATGTTTTAAGTCAATACTGTATTCGTGGGGCACTCCTAATTTAAATTTACTCGTGCCCCCGTGAAGTTATAACGCGCCGTTGACCTCTTAGTAATATAGTTTCGAGGTTGAATGGGTGCACGCGTAACGCGGAGGAAGGAGTTGCAAAGAGGTTAAAACCGAAATTTGGTTCATCAAGATGTGCAAGGACTTAAAAGCGGGTTTAAATATCTTTCGGAGCAGCGATTCTCAATCATTGTTAACTGGAATACCACCCGAACCTTCTGTGTATTGACTTGGAGCGTTAACGGATCCTTCTTGCGTACCCTAGGTGGTACTCCCACCACTGGTTGAGAACTGCTGTTTTAGAGTGTTTTCTAGCCTTCTGCTGATTGATTAATTGATTTTTTTGGCACAAGAGCCATACGGGCTATCCTGCGCCATATCAAATAGCAAAAATGTACAAATATTAAAAAATATAACAATAAGAAGAACAATAATAAGCATATAGAACTGTACGATGAACCAGTGATGAGGGGTTACGGTCCGATATACTGAATTGTTTCCATACAGAATAATAATACAATAAACTTCTGTGATGTAATTGATAGCATCTAGTGTGCGTGTCTCCTCCTCCTCTTGACATAACAAGTTGTAAATTATTTTAATTTTTTTTATAATTAATTAATTTTTATCGTTTTTTACACAAATACAAAGTGGATTTTTCATTCATTTGAATGTGTGCCAGTTAAATTTTGTGCCATGGAAAATTCATTTCGACGCTTCATGAGGGATGTAATTGATAACTTGAAGCTTGGAGAGGAATTTAATTGTAAAGTATTCGATAAAGGATGTCTATTTTAGTACTTCTCGGTTAAAGAAGTACATTTTTTTGCACTCCTCAAGCGATAACTCGGAGCACAAAGCAAAATTCAATGACATACCTTAAAAGTTAACTTTTGACCACTTAAAACGTGGTTTTGGGGTTAGAAACATACAATTTGAAGCTCGAACGCAATAGAAATTATCAAAATTCATTAAATTATTTAAATTTTGGTCATTTAAAACTTTATTTAATATTTTTTTCAACGTTTGAAACTGACAACTTGAAGCAAGGAGCACAATGTTTACAGACAAAGGCATAAATTTCACGTTGAAATCACCAGAAAAAATTTAAAAAAAAACGTATTTCATACAACGGAACTTAATTAAATTGATAAATATGAAAATAATAAGCTAAACATAAAAAGCTAAAAAAAAATATAAGCTAAAAATCTCTATATAGCGTGATTATCCTCTATAAACACAACGCTTATTGCTAGTAGCGCCAAAAGTGCCATAGTAGTGAGTTTTATTACTAACTAGCTGCAAGGACCCGCTTCGCTGGGTTTTTTTTTTTGTTCGTACATTTGTATGTAATATAGTTTTATATATATATATAAAAGACTGTTTTTCTAAGTAATTTAGAATCTAGCTGCAAGGACCCGCTTCGCTGGGTTTTTAAAAAGTAACGATAGTGAAGATTAAGATAATTACATTATAGCCAATCTTACCCGTTTTCACAAAATGCAAGAATTAAGTCCCCCGTTTCCAGACTAATTAACTAATTTTTACATTTAGTCAAACAAACAAATTTCAACGTTTCTGGAACGTTTACGATCGTTCTATAATCGAACCAATATTCGAATTTTATGTTCGAATTTAATTCGAATATTGTTCGAACTTATTCTANATATTTTTCAATTGTTTTTATAATTTCTGTATTTTCTGAATTCTTGTATTGTTCTAATCTCTTAATTTTTGTATATTTATACTTTGTTTTTATGTATTTTTTTTTGTTTTTCTGTATCTTGTGTACTTTTTTTCTGCATTCTTGTGTTGTTTTGCACATTCTCGTACTGTTTCTGTACATTCTTGTTTTGTTTTTGTACTTTTTGTATTGCTTCTTGCATTCTTGTGTTGTTTTGAGCATTTTTGTATTGTTTCTGTACATTCTTGTATTGTTTTTGCGTATTCGTATTTTGTTTTTTGCATACTTTTGTGTTGTTGTTGCTTATTTTTGTATTGTTTTTTGCATATTTTTATGTTGTTTTTGCTTATTTTTGTATTGTTTTTTGCACACTTTTGTGTTGTTTTTGCTTATTTTTGTATTGTTTTTTTGAGCATTCTTGCATTGTTTTTGTGCATTCTTGCATTGTTTTTGTGCATTCTT